AACATGAATACCATCTTCAATAGAATGAATAAAATATCAAATAACAAACAAAATGAAATAAAAAATCAATATCTAATGAAAACTAATTTAGTAATTTTTAATTTCTCATTTAATACTTTTTATGTTATTTCTTTGTTTTATAAGTTACTAATATTAACAGGCTTCTGAAATTGTTTTTTTTCTTTCATTTATTTTCATTGGTACTATTAAATAAAACAACGCTTTGTTATTCTTTCATTTTCTTTAGCTCATCTTCATTTCCACCTTCATAGAAATATTCATTTCAAAATAATGTATTTGACGATGAAATATTAATTTAGTTTAATTCTTTACATTTATAAAAACAATAATCTCCCATGTCACTAACTGAAGATGGTATAATAATTGAAGTTAATGAGGTGTATTTCATAAAAACTGTCTCCAAATGAGTAAATATTAATTGAATATTAATTAATGTTTATGATGGATTATTTAAAAAAAATTATATTCTAGTGATTAAACTTCTAATAGTTTGTGTTTCATGAATCATTTCTATCATATTTTTTTATATTCTTTATTTTTACATTATTACATATTCCATTTCTTTAAATATGCTGAATATGTTATTATGTACAATATTACATGTTTATTTATTCCTCCACACTCTTATAACTTATTACCTTCATTATATATAGAAATGTTTCAATAGTATGAAAGAATTTTCTCAAATAATGAATTAAAAGAAATAAATTAGAATAAAATAATTCATAGTTTATTGAAATAGTCTAACCCCAATTTCTAAATAATGAAATCATTAGTATCATCAAAAATACATTGATATTATTGTTATTTCATTATACTATACTTTGCTTTTTCCATTCACCACACTTCGTGTTGTATTTATTATTTTTCATTTGAGTTTATTTAATTATATTATTATAATTTAATAATATAACTTTTAATTTTACTTTTTGTTGTTGTTATTTCTTATTTTGAAAATATTTGTGATGATTGTAAATACTGTTATATAATTGATAAACAAAAACCAAAATTTTACTACGTTTCTAAAAACTTAAAAATGACCTATACTCTTATTACTAATTCTTTTCCATTGGGACATCAAGATATGAAATGTTTCTTTGTTGATCACGAACCCTAGTGATTTTACCCATTTTTTCTTCATTAACAGCAGCACTAAGTTTAAAGGAACATATTAGAGCTTCAAATTTATTCATGGTATTTAAAACAGCTGTAGCCCTCTGATTTTTAGTATTTTCTGACTCAACACCAATCATATTCTTCATGTTTAAGAGAACTTCTTCTATCTGTTGAGGTGTTTCATTATCTTTTTGAATGAGAGGTTTACATGATTCGACAATAAACTCTGCACCCATTAACCAACGAAGACAAACTATTGTTGATTCTTTTTCACCAGTTTGTTTCTCTATAACTTCATTAGTAGATTTTTTTGTAACTTCTTCAAAGGCTTTAAGTAAATTCAATACAATTTGTGACATACATTGACTCTCCTTGCTCATTGCATAAATATGGAGATCTTGTTTAATGATAATAAGCTCAGTAATGAGATTTAAAGCATATTCATCAACAACCTTATAATCGATATCTTCTCCAATCCAAATCTCATACCACTTAGCATCAATTCTATTCATTAGATCATTGAAATATCCACTCCTATCATTAATATAATACTTCAAAATATTTGCTGAAACTTCTTCAAATCCTTTTAATATATCTTTTACTCTACTATTTTCACCAACTACTTCTTTCTTAGTACTTGAGAAATTGTAGAGATCCCATAACACTTGTCCACTAAAGGCATTTTGTGCATTTTCAGTTAATGATAATAACTTTCTTTGTTTAGTTAATTGTCTATATTCATTCATTTCAATATTACTATCATCAAATGTTTCATTCTCTCTTCCTTTTTGGGCAATTAATGCTTCATTACATTCTTTTGATGCTGTATTAAATAATTCTTTTAAAGCCTCAACAGCAATACTAAAGTATTTAATAACTTGTTCGTCTGGATTTTCTGTGGCTTGAATAATTTCTTTAAGCATTTTAAAATCTTCTGTATAAAGTTTTTGAAAAGCTATAAGAATACCATTTCCTGGATTAATATAAATTTCATCAGAATTTTTTAAATTAATAATACGTTGTCTTGTTTGTGATGTAATACGCTCAATAAATGAAGTGACTAATTCTGCATGTGTTTTCTTTAATGGATCACTAAACTTATTACTAATTTGTTGTGCAGTAAATGCAGTCAATACACTTTCAATATCTTCAAGACAAGCTTTATCAATTAAATTATTGCTATTACTAAATTCTTCTATATCTTCATATTGTTCTTGATAATCAAATATTTTTGTCATACTATCACAAAAATCTTGTATAATTTTAACAACATATGTTGATCTGTCGGAAGTAGATTCTTTTTCCACAACTCCTTTTTTTGCTCTTGCATAAAAAGAATGACTAATTTCTTTAGATGCTGTAGCCCATCGTGTTTCAAGTTCAAATGGCATATCATTTTCTCCTAATACAATTGCTTCACTAAGTGCTTTTTCTAATACCGCTTTATCCTTTTCTGTTGTTTTTCCAATAAAACTACATAATTCAAACTCTGAATCAAATGGTAAATCTGGATGTGTTAATTTATAAGTTGTAAGTGCTAAATCAAGAAACATTGTACCAGTAGTATTTTTTGAATATGAAACAGAAACAACAGTTCCATCTTCAAAAAGTACAGTAGTTTTTCTTAATTGACTAGAATCTTCTTCAGTTTCTTTCTTCTTTTTATTTGAAGAAAATTGCATAATTCCAATTAACTTAGAAATATGTTCAATCATTTTACTACAAAATTTATGAGTTGTTTGATATTTTTTACTAAAACCAATTGTTTTATTTGCATTATTCCCCCCATTTATTGTTGTAAGTGACCTTGTAGTAGTACTCATCCCACGGGTGTTTGTCCCATACTTACTATTAGTTTGAAGAATATTTATGGATTGAACTAAAAACTTTTCGTGTTGTGATTCTTTTTTCTTTTCAGTCATAAGTTTATACCCATTTTCATATTCTTTTTTTAATGTCTCACGATGACTTCTTAATAAAAAGATTACTGGATTATCTTTTAATATAATAACTGGGAATTGTTTCATTTCAAATAATGTTGTTAAACAACGATCATATTGGTTTCTTGTTAAATCAATTTTACTAATACTACAAAATAATTCATCAACAAATTTTTGGGCAGTAATATTACAATCTTGTAATACATCTTGATATATCCCAATCTCTGTTTCCTTTGATAAACCTTGTGCACGATTAAAAACATTAACAAATCTATCATCATCCCTATTAGCTGCTGCTGATCGTAATTGAGCTGGAAGAGAAAAAACTGAACGAGCTCTTTCAATAACTGAAATAGCATCTCTGGACTGATCAACACGATTCTTTAAATCAGTGAGTTGTTTAATTGAAGATAAAGAATTAAGAAGTTCATTATATTTTTCTTGCATTTTGATAACAACATTAAGATAAACTCCATTTTTAACAGCCTCAGCTTTGGCAGAATTAATTATGACTTGCATTTTATCTAATGTATCTTTACAATTGATAAATTGGTCAAAATGAGATTCAACCAAATGCATAATTTCTTTATTTTTATGATGGATTTTTGTTTCAAGTCTCAATGGTCCATTAATTAATCTATTGAATGAAGTGTCATTGTGCATAAGAGCTAAATATTTTTCAGGAGAAAACGATGGATCATCCATATTTAATTCTTTCTGTTCTTGTAATAATTTAATCTTATCATCTTTTCCTTTTGACGATTCAGTTAAAATCTCAATAATATCAAATCCTTGCTCAACTTCCATTTCAACAGCTTGTGTTACTGCATTCATCTCTTGTGACATAGAAACGTATCCTGTATCTACAAATTCTTTAGCTTCTTCCCATGAAGTTGCATGAAGCCTTTCAAACGCTTCCATTTAGTTTATACCTTTTTCTAAGTTCTTTTCTTTTATTTTAAGATTATTAACTATTTTTATTTCTTTTTAACTAAAAAAAAAGAAAATGCTTATCTCTTATTTTAGAATATTAAATAACTAAAAATATTAAAAACAAATTATGAAAATCTAAAGATTAAAAGAGACAAGTTGATATGAGTATTGAAGGTTATACAAATCATGATTGTGCTGCAATCTATCCTGAAAAACTTTATCTTGGGGCTGTTGCTGTTGCAAATGATATTTCAATATTACGTAAATTAAATATAAAAAATATTGTTAATGCAACAGGATATTTACGAGGTGGGTATGACAATACAATAGAACAATATCCTGACGCTTTCCCCAATGAAATTCATTATTTACACCTTCACATAAACGACCAGGAAAATTTTCAAATTACTAATTATTTTCAGTCATGTTTTGATTTTATTGACCATGCATTTTCTCAAAACGAAAAAGTACTTGTTCATTGTCAGGCTGGAATCTCTAGAAGTGCAACACTTGTCATTGCGTATCTCATTTATCATGAAAAAATCTCGTTAAAAGATGCTTATTTCAAAGTGTATCAAGTAAAAAAAAATATTGCCCCAAACAAAGGGTTTTGGAAACAATTAGAAGACTTTGAAATTAAGTATTTTGAATATTCAAAATCAAGTTATCCTCTTGTTGAATATTTGACAGATCGATTATACCCAATGTTAAGTGAACAGCATAGTCGAGATTTAATAAAAGAAAAATTAATTGAAACCAATTGTGATATAACTATGACAGTAGCATTATTGTTGTATAATTGAATTTTCTTCTTATTTCCTTTGATATAAAAGATCGAAGTATCACTTGAAAAGAAAGAAAAAAATATGAGATTTGAACTAAAAAATTGTACCGTTGAAATGAATAAAAACTATTAAATATAATAAAAATATAATAAAAAAATGGTTTAAAGAAAATGTAAACCTACTTCACTTTAAAATCTGTTCATCAATGCCAAAGACTAACAAAACAAGTAGACAAGTTGTTTTAAATAATGCTTATGCTCCATCAACAGCTTCAAGTAAAAAGATTACAATTAATGGTAAAACAGTTACTGTATCAGCCAATACTCAAGTAGGTAAGTCAGCTCCAAGAATGAAAGGAAAGGTTGAACATAAAGGAGCTGCTGCTGAAACTAAGAAACTTGAAGCTGCTATTAAAACATTGAGAGGTCAACAAATTGGAGGAATTGATGAATGTGAAATGATTCAAAAGAAAGATGGACAATATAAAATTACTAATTGGAAAAGTCCAAAGATTATGTGTACTAATGAAGGTGGAGTTTTCTTTGTTACTGGTGCTAATAAAGTAGAAGAAATGACTGAAGAACAATTTAATAAAGCTGCACAAGCTCAAATTGAAGAAATTACTAAACAATTTGCTGCTCCTGCTTCAACTGAAGAAAAGAAAGAAGAAGAAGTTAAAGAAGAAAAGAAGGAAGAAGCAACTCCAGCTGAAACCGAAGAAAAGAAAGAATAAATGAATTATTTCCTTTTGTTATTGGGTTTAAGTTAAAATATTACTTTATATTAAATTAAACTTCTTTAATGGAAAGAAGTTAACACGTAGTTATGATGTAACTCTTTTGTTTTTTTCTTTAATTAATTAAATTTTTCTGTTATCTTATAAGAAGAGTTGTTATTATTTTTCTATTGTTTCTTTAATAAGAATTTAGTAATTTCTTCAGAGACTCAAAATAAAAGTATTATAAATAATTGAATTTGTTTGTTATTAAACTAAGTAATATTTCTAAATTGGTTTAGGTAATTTAATTAAAGATAAATAAATAAAATATAAAGTATGATTTTATTTTTTCCAATGATTTATAAATTAAACATTTCTAATATTTACATAATAATAATTACAGTTTAAAATATTAAATCAATATTCAAAAATGTTTTTTTCAACAAGTTTATTTTAGTTAATAATTAACTTTGGTTCTGTAATAACAATTAATAGCAAACAACATTGTTTATTTCTTAAAAATTACAAAATATTCAAAAATAAAGAATATAAAATGATAAGTACATTAATATTTTATATTCATTTTATTATCCATTTCAATTTTGTTTTTTTTTTGTTTTACAACCTAAATATTGTTATTAGAATATATTGAATTATTTCAATTTGCAAAAGATAAATTAAGTTTAGTCTAACTTTTATTTACATCGTAAGACAATTAAATAATTAAAGGAAGAACTATATTAAATTGTTGTTATTTTAAGGAGTTAATGGTAAATTCATAGAAGAATTAATTGGTGGAGTAGTAAATCCATTACCTAAACGAACAGAAAATTCACGACAAGCAACAATTGAAAGTTCCATATTCCAATTACCCATATGAAGACTATTTGAAAACAAATGACAAGAATAATTTAAATTTTTAAGAAGGACAACATTCATTGGAATAATTCCTTTATAGAGAGAAGAACCATCAAGAATTTTAATTTGAATAATTCCAAGAGCTAAAAAAGGTTGAGGGAATTGCATAAGTTTTAAATTAATAACAGATTGTCCTTGAGTAATTTGTTGAAGAGATAATTTAGATTCAGTAATTTGTTGAAGATATTTAGAAATGAAAGTGAGTGATATTTCTTTAGAATCAAATTTAATATTTTCTAAAGAATTAAATTTAATAACAAGTTGAAATCTTATTTTTGTTTTATTTGGAATTTCAACATAAGGAATACTTCCTGTCCAAGCAAAATAATTATTTGTTAAATAATTTTGAATAGTTTGAATTGTTGGATATTTAAATAAATCATTTGAAGAACAATTCATAAAATTCCATTGATTTCTATAATATAAAAATGTTCCTTTTTGATTTTCCATAATATTTTCACATCGATTTAATAATTCATTTAAACTTACTTGTCTTTTTTGAGTAATAAAAAATAAATGATTTGTTGTTAATGGTAATTCAATATTTCCTTTTAAAAATAATTTGTCATTTATTTCATTATTTAAATCAAGTGCTACTAAACCAATAGAAGTTTGATGAATATTAAATGTAAATGCAATTCCAACAATTTTTGGTTTTTCATTTGATTTATTTTTTGATGTATAAACTTTAGAATAAAAAAGATTTGATAATACATGAATTTGTTCTTTTAAAACTAATATACAATGGACTATAACTCCTGTTTCTTTAACTGCAAATATTTCATATTTATTTGGTTGTTGATGTGATAATTCTTTAATAATTTCCATTAAAAGAAGAATACCAGGTGTAACTGAATTAATATGATTTAATTGAATTGGAAATGATGTATTATATAAAACAATATCAACAATACTACTTTGAATTTCTTTAACAAATTCCATTATTTCAATTTGACTTGGTATTTGATTTATTTTATTTAATTTCCATTGAATACATGAAATTGTAATATTTTTTGTTATTTGATTTGAAATAAAAGTCGAACTACGATTAATTAATATTGGTGTTGAATTTGGTGTATTAATTCCAATAATATTCATTAATGAATGTGCTTCAACTATTGATGGAATTTCATATTTTAATGCTTTACTATCAGTTGCACATAAAATAATAATTTGTTGAGGATTTTCTTCGCACATTTCACAACGAACAATATCATGAATAGGGATAGTTCTAGTTAATTTAGAATTATAATTATATTCTTTAAAAAAAGAAGAGTCTAAATGTAAATGAACGGTATCTTGAATTTTAATATTATGACGATATTTTATTGCTTTAGGAATACATAATAAAACATTATTACATTTTTCATTCATCTAAACAATTAGTTTTAAATATTTATAAAGAAATAATTATTAAATCAAACATTTTCTTGATCAAATATTATTTTTCCCATTATAAAATCTAATGTTTCTTGTGGTTTTTTATATTGATCAGTTTTAACTGATATTATGGTTCTTTGAACACTAATTAATCCATCATTAATCATTCCTTTAATTTCTCTTTTTCCTTTTCTTGTGAAATCTGTTTTCATAGCATCTGTTTGAGTATATCTATAACTCATTACATTAGCATGATCAGCCCATAAATTCATAAAATTAGTAAGTTCTGAATTAGAAATAAGAGAATTAAGTGGTAATAAAGTTTTATTTCCAAGAATAAGATTTAGTTGTTTACTTAATAAATATTTGGCAATTGAAGATTGAATAACATTAGTTCTATCTAAACAATCAATACAATTTGTTCTAATAATTCCTAATTGATTAAATAATTCTTTAGAATTATTAAAATAAAATTTATTCTTTTCTAATATTGGTTTAATTTCTTCCATTATTATTTCAATGTTTTGATACTTTTTATTTGCACAAATTTTATGAAAGTCAAATCCAAAATATTTAATTGGAAGTAAATTTGCTTTAACAAAAAGTTCATACATATCATGTAATTCTTTTTCATCTCCATTATTATTTAATAAATTAATAACTGTAATTTCTCCATACATTTCTTTTAACATATTAAAATGTTTAATTAACACATCATTTTGTCTTGAGTCTTCTACAAATTTTCCTCTTGGTTTAAATAAATCTTTTTCTTTTGTTTTCCAAATTAAAGGAATATTTCCACGTATTTGAATAAATGAACTATTTGTAATACCATCAGTCTAATTGATAATTATGACTTGTTAGATTATTAATTTATTAAGTTATTATATAAAAAAAAAAACAATATATTTTATTTAACAAACAATAATTTGTTCTGTTTCTACAAAGTTTGAAACATTTCCTGAACTATCAGCTCCACGTGAAGAAAATCTTAATCCTGCACGAGTTTTATCTCTTCTTGAAATTAATATGTATTGAATATTTTTTGATGAAGAACTTATTAAAGGTATTGATTTAATAAACCCATCCATAAATACAACAATCCAATGTGCAAAATATGGTTGTAATATTGAAACTAAACTTTCATTCCAAAAGAATCTTGGATCAGTAAATGTTGTTTCTTGTTGGTTTTGTAAAGTTAAAGTTATGTCTAAATCATATGAATAATATAATTTAAATGTCATTAACATTTCTTTTACTTTACTTACTTCTTCTTTAACAAATGATGATGTACTTTTCCATTGTTCAATTGGTAAAATTGGTAATAAATCAATACTTAAAACTTCTAAGATTTTTTTTTCTTGTAATGAACATGTTTCTTTACTTTCTTGAATTACAATAGCAAAATTAATATTTTCTATTTTAATAAATCCCATTAGTTCAGATAATTGAAATGTTTGAATTACTTCTCCTTGTAGTTTTTGTGTTGTTAATTTATAACTGGTATATTCAATACTGAAATAGTCTTTAATTCTCAAATTCTCAAAAACTACTCCATCACTTCTATAATTCACTAATAAGTGTTTCATTAATTGTTTGGAAAAATGATGTTATTTAGTTACTATAGAATTTTCTTGTCAAATGGATTTTTGTGTTATTCTATTTAAATTTTTTCTCTTTTTTTTTTCTTAAATCTATTTGCTTTTATTTCTTTTTCATAGAAAATATTATGTTATTCTATCACATCAATAAAAAATAATATGTGTTGTTTCGCGTGTATTGTTTTTTTTCTTAAACTAATCTCATTTCTTATTAGTCTTTTTACAACTGAGTTTTTTGCTCATATTATGTTATAGACAATTTTTATTGAGTGATTCTTTTTTTCAATATTTTTCAATTTAAAAAAAATGTTAGAATAGAAGTTTTATTTTTGTTATGAAAATAAAGAATTTTCTCGGTTCATTTGATGAATTACTGTATTTTTATACAGCTGATATTAAAAGATAAATCCAGAAAAAGGTTAAAAAACAGAGAATATGGATATAATGTATTAGTAGAAACTCATTTCAAATTATATTTTTTATATAACTCCATTACACTACCATCAAGGTTGTCAATACTTTTTAAATATACCAACTTCTATATTAAATGAAAGATACTAAACACTTAATGTAACTTTTTAATGTAATCAATATATGATGATTATAGTACTTTCAGTGTAGATTAATTATGATTTAAACTACCCTTATAATGATACCAAAAATACAGGTATCATTATAAGAGGTATTAAATGAGATGAAATACTTTCTTAATTTATTAGTCTGGTTTTGCACTGTTTCTTTATTCAGATATTTTCTTTTTAATTAATTACATTGTTTTGTTTCTTTGATTATGAGATTTTTATTCCTTTTCTTATGTTTATCTATTTCTTTTTATAAATTTTTTATCATTAACTCCTTTCTTGAGTTAATTTTAACTCAAAACTTTTATTCTAACAGAGATACTATCTATTTTTCGATACTACCTAAATTGTTTCGTGCATTCATTCCTTCAGTTTTCAATTCAAATGTCTTGATTTTAGATGTTCATTTTTAGAATAATATTTTATCGTTTTAATTTAATCTCTTTATTTTTAACTTAGATACTACCATTCTCTTCTATACTTTGAATAATTGTTATTTAGTATTTATATTTATTTCAGTTATTATATTTTTGATGTTCAGAAAGTTGAATGAAT